CAAGAGGCGGGCCTGCCGGAGCTGTGAGAGAAAGCAGTGGGAGCTGAGGCTGGCCACTCGGGGTTCGGAAGGGGGAGCGGAATGCGGGTCCTCCACTCCCGGAATGTCCGGGGAGGGAAGCGGGGATGGCCCGTTTCCTCCCTGGGCTGCTTGGAGATGGAACCGGGACTTGCCCATGGCCAGCTTCTCTGAAGCGGAAGGGGGGGCGATAGAAGCGGAGCTGAACCTCTTGCCGCTGCGGGTCTGGCTTGCGGAGTGCAAAAAGGAGAGGGGGCCTCTTGGAACACCCACCACCCCTCTTTGCCTTTCGCCTCCATGGCTCTCACTTCAGTCTGGGCAGGAACTGGTGCTCCTCTGCTGCAGGCGGGACGTACTCCTGGTGGCCTGCTGCTCCGGCGCCTGCAAGGTGGAAGTGTTTGCCCTGTGGGGTGGGCAAAAGCTGAAAGAAAGTGCCCCACAGCTTCTGTCTGACATAGAGGCGCCCCACGCCCCGCAGCTGGGTTGGACATAGCTGCGGGGCATGGGACTCCTCTATTTCAGACGTAGCTGCTGCGAGGGGGGGGGAAGCCGCTTTCTTTCTTTTTGCCTCACCAGCCATAAGCTTCACCGCACGTCACTGTGAACAGTAAGGATATGTTTATAGAGAAATTGAGATATGGGTAGAAAAGGTCATTTGTTGCATGTTAAGAGAAGGGGATAAGTTACTAAAACTATGTATAGTTATTGTTATAAAAGGGGAACATACATGTATGTATGTATCTTTATGATTTGTTTTCCTTCTTTTCTATTTTTATTCTTTTTTAAAGTTGCATTATTTCTTATTGTTTTAATTGTAAGGTTGAATATTATTAATATAAACAAAAGGTATCTTTGTTATGTAAAGCACTGTGCATATTAATATATTTGGCCTATTTGGAAACTAATCCTTTTGAGAACATTTTTAATTTTGCCAGCTGGAGTCAGCATCCTTCCTAAGCTTTTCTCCAAAGCTGACAAAGTGACAGAAAGAGTTAAGTGTGTGTTTGCATGTGTATTTTCTTTTATGATTCTTGAGTTGTGCATCCTTTTCTTGTCCTAGCAAAGCAAGTGGTCATTCAGTGCTTCTTATCCTTTCTATATCAGATTGACTTGTTCGGTTCTTACTGGGTTTTTTCTTTAAAAAACAAACAAACATGATGTGATACTTACTCTATGCCATCCTTACTGAATGTTGTTTTTTTAAATAAAATTTTTATTTTCAAACAAACACAAACACACAAAACATATAACATAAAAAACTCTTCAACTGCATACAGTNACAAGAGCATAGAGCTTCGGCCCTAGGTCTCATTGCTGGAGAAGACTTAGCCACTGACTTCACTCAATGTACTTGATTTGTTTACCAAATAAAGGCATTTTATGGGTGTGCATATATTGTTCTCTACTTACAACCACAACTGAGTCCAAAACTTCCATTGCTAAGCAAGGCAGTTTTGTTAAGTAAATTTTGTCTGATTTTACGACCTTCCTTGCCACAGTTGTTAAATGATTCATTGAGGTTGTTAAGTTAGTAACACAGTTGTTGTGTGAATCTGACTTCCCCATTGCTTGTCAAGCATCTGAATTTTGATCTTGTGACCATGGGGATGCTGCAATGATTGTAAGGGTGAAAAATGGTAACACACCACTTTTTTCAGTGCCATTGTAACACAGTCACTAAACAAATGGTTGTAAGTCTAGCACTACCTGCATACTCACTCATAAGCTAATCAAATAGTTGAGTATCAAAGAAGATGCTAAAAAGTGAGCAGGTGTGGCAAGCTGTGTGAATGCAGCTTCTAGATCTTCAATCAATCTGCTTAAGTTTGTTCTTTGATCACAGCCTTTGACAGTGGACGAAGAAAGCAGGTCAGGATGGAGCATCTCTTTTCTGGGCTTCAAAGGCTACATTGAAGAGGCTGGGAGTTTTCATGTGAATCATAATGTTGGTCTCCAAAACAAATCTCAAACTAATAAAACAGTTCTTAGATGGGCTAGTGAAAAATGCATGTATGAGGTTTTTTTTTGTTTCAAGGAAAAAGTGAAATGCTAAGGGTTTTTGTGCAAAAACAAAACAAAACAAAAAACCCCATTGTTGTCTATAAGAACCGCCCCCCCTCAAAGTTTTCATGTAGTAACTCACACATATGTGCTAATTGTTCCTGACTCTAGGGGGCGGTGCTCATCTCCGTTTCAAAGCCAAAGAACCAGCGCTGTCTGAAGACATCTCCATGGTCATGTTGCCACCATGACTAAATGCCAAAGGCGCACGGAACACTGTTACCTTCCCACCAACGGCGGTTCCTATTTTTCTACTTGCATTTTGAACTGCTAGGTTGGCAGAAGCTGGGACAAGTAACGGGAGCTCACTCCATTACGTGGCACTAGGGATATAGTACTAAGGTCAGATGTAGTTGATGTAGTAACCTGACATTAATTTCATCCCTTTCTCTCTTTGAGAGAGTCAGTCATTTTTTAAAAAGCATCAGTCAATCATTCTTATGGATGTGTGTGTATGGAGAGACCCAATAAGATTAGAAATAACAGTAGCTGTCCCATTTTTTTTGAAAAGGCTTTTCTTAAAACAAATATGAAATAAGAAGCTTGTGCATTTGTCAACTCTTCTCCTTGAGAAACAAGGAGTTTCGGTCAACAGTTTTTTTTAAAAAAAATCTGTAATTGAACCACAACATTTGCAGTAGCAGCAGCAACAACAATCTTAAGTAAACCCACAATTATTGGGTTCTAACCTTAACATAGAAGTAAAAAGGTTATTTTTCTGAGGATTGTAGCTGTTTGCATATCAGATTGACATGATTTACTGCTCAATAAATCTACCATATTTTTCCGAGTATAAGATGCACCAAGATTTTGAAGAGGCAAATTAAAAAAAAAGTTTTTGCACTCTGCAGACCTCCCAAAAACAGACCGTTGTTGCCAAAAAAGGACATGCATAGCATTTAGAAGACTTGTAGAGTGCTCCTCGCAGCTGGGGGGCCAAAATGAGCAAAAAACAGCTCATTTTTCACTCATTTTTGCCCTCCCCAGCCCCAGGAGCACTCTGGAAGCCTCCTAAAGGCTATGCAGGGCCATTTTTGCAAAGGAGATGGGGTTTCAGGAAGCCAAAAATGTTTTATTCAGTGTATAAGACACACCCAGATTTTCACCCTCTTTTTTGAGGGAAAAAGGTGCATCTTATACTCCAAAAAATACGGTAATATAAACTTTATATGAAACAAGGTACACTTCAGGACCTTGGACATCTCCAATCATCCCATGGAACATTGGCTACATTACTCAATGAAATGAAAGAATCTGAGGATCAAACCACACGAAACCAAGGGAGTTAGCTCAAACCACTCCTGGCACTGTATGCCTCATGTCTCCCAAAGTTGGTTTGTCAAGCCTGCATTTGATTGGGGTGTGGGGTTGTTTGCATCCTTGGACATTTTGACATGAATTCAGTTTGACACAGTTTGGAGCTGAAGGGGGATGGAGCCTTCAGTCAAAACATCATTCCTGACTGATGAGTCAACCACATTCCAGTATCTGGCTGACTGGAGGAAGAGGAGAGACGTCACCCAGCAACCAGCTCCCATCTTGCTTGGACAATGGGGCAGTTGTTTTGGGAACTTGAGAAAACTGACACTTATATTGGGGCAAAAAGCCAGGGAAGTTCAGTACTGGCTTTTCAGCAGTTAGTGCCAATATGGTGTACCTAAATAAATGTGTGCTTTGAGAAAACAGAATGCCTCAGAGTTCAAATTGTGATGGATGCATTACGTGGAACCTGACACGGAACATTTTTTAGAATGCTCTTTCTGCACATTCAGAGGAATGCAGAGAGACCTTCTTTGAATGGTGGTGTTTTCTTTACAGGCTTCTGGATGCACTCAACACTTTTTCGCATTATTGTCTGCTGAATAGTTCCAGGGCGGGACCATGTATAGTTCTGGTGGGACCGTCTGCCATGGCACAATGATCCCTGCACATTACAGGCAAGTCCTTAAATATGTATATGAAGCATTTCCCTCAAAAGAACCACTGGCAATCTGGCCCTTCTATCTCTTTCCCAGGTGACCACCTGACCTGGCCCAGGTCCAGTCATACACCTCGGAGGGAGTTGTAATTAAATAAAACAATGACTGTTAAGGTAAAAAATCAAATCAAATCAAGCAACACAATAATATAAAACTTTCAAAGGGTGAGCAAAAAGTTCCAAAAACTTTCCTTTTTGGCATAATGGCCCCTCACCAATCAGGTTGCCTCATAAACACGTCTCTCAGGCCCAGTGAGAGGCCTATCAACTCTCCATTTCATGGAAGCAAGGATACAGACTCTCTAGGTGGATGGAAGCCTTCCTTCCATGAGGTAGCAATCTCACAATCTCTCTTTCTGAAGCAGTGCAGCCTCTTTCCCTCATGGCAGCTTTGTTCTTGTTCTGACCTAGGCTTCCCAAAAAGCACAAAGCCAACTCCTTGTCCCGCTAAAACCTCTTTTATTTAGGTTAAAGGGAATTCCTCTCCAGTAAAGTCCCAGCAGTCAGTCTTTCATGAGATTTCACAACTGCAGACCTTTCTCAGTCTTGGAGAGTTGCCAGGCTGATATCTTCCAAATGCCATGCTGTAGCAGCAATTACTTGGCAAGAAGTCAGGAACAGATCTTCACCCTAATGAATTGAACTAATTGTCTCCTGAAAACTCCCCTCCCCTTTCACTCCTCTTTATTCCCTATGGGAGGGGCCATTCACTGTCCACATGTGGCTTTACTCC